ATCTTATTTCATTTCAAAGCTAATTTAATTTTGTCGAATATCTGTTGCGTGAAAATATGTAAAATTCACTTCATAAAACCCCAATATCAAGCGTGTTACTCGAAGCGGTAACATAAATATCAATATACCGATTTTCTGTTCGTTCCTGGATGGTTGAAACAGAAACGCGCGTTTACTGTTTAAAATAAATCGCGTTAACGTTCCGCAGCAAATCTGGCTAGCACGACACTTTACTTCGTGCAAGCAGACAGATCGGACATTAACTTAAGCAGAACTTGGTGTCTCCATTATCCCTAACGAGTCGCTATTAAAAATGGGCCATTATTATTATGGGTATGTTTACCTGCCGAGTGGGAGAACCACTTGTATAGTCGGTTTTTGCACGCAACAACTGCGTGCGTTCGGGAATAGCCATCCTAGTGCGGGTCACTAGCATGATAACTGAAAAAAACCTTCCATATTTGTAGAGGAATTCATTCGCTATGGAATAATATAGTAAACATAAGAACCAAATGTATTTAATATACCAGTTTTGTTTTAACAGAATGTGGTGCTATGGCGCTAAATATAAATATAAAATCGACAAGTTACATTGCCAAAGTATAAAGCTAAATAAAAAGTGTCATATAATAACAATTCAATGATACGTAAAATTTTACATTTGTTGTGAAGACCCCGCAATTTTGTAACAATTTTGTTTGTTTGTTTCAGATATGGCCAGGTGGTTAGGGGGCGCTCGACGCGCAATATGCGGGTTGCGGGTTCAAATACCCGTCCCACCAAACATGCACGTGGGGGCGTCATAATGTGACGGTCAATACCATTATTCGTTGGTTAAAGAGTAGCCCAAGAGTTGGTGGTGGGTGGTGATGACTAGCTGCCTTCCCTCTAGTCTTTCACTGCTAAATTAGGGACGACTAGCGCATATAGCCCTCGTGTAGCTTTGCACAAAATTCATAACAAACCGAACTTGTTTCAGATATTCACACAAAGCTTTGAAAAGGCTAACTGCGTTAGCCGTCCTTAATCTTGAGCTAATTGTGTGGAAGGCAGAAAGTCAACACCACCAAACACCAAATTTTAGACTACTTTAATTAAATATTGGAATATGTACGTCACTTTTATAACGCACTCGCACAAAACAAAAATCTTCGGATTCACAGTCCGGTACGATAAACATAAAGTTACGCCCGGTTCGTTTATTAAATCAAAAATTATTCCTAAGACTCAATAACAAGTTCAAGCTCTCACAAGCTTGCGCCTATACAGGTGACTAGTGTCAAGCTTTCATGCACAGAAAAATTAAAGCCTTACACAGAATTTAAGAAAAGAAGATAAATTCTACCATAGTTGAAATACAAAATAAAACAAAAAGACAAAATAATTTCCATTAAATTGATGGAACCATAATTTTGAACTAGTTGAGATAGATTAAAAAAATCTTCTAACATGAATTTGAACCTTGTGGTTGGAAAAGTGTATTTTTATACATAATTCGTTGAAATCAGAAAAAGAAAGGGAAAAGAAAAAATATATAGTACTTAACGCACGTTATGACTCTGCAGGTGGCACCATCTTTTGGCAACTTATAATATTATAAGTAATTAGGATATACCTCTGTTTCATTAAAAAATTAACACAGAGAATTTAAAAAGGCACAAAACATAAAAATGCAGCCTAAAAACAACTTCTGGGTAACAATATAAAGAAAACACAACAAAGGTGTGTTTGGGCCAGGTTTGACCTAATTATAGCTTTCACGGACTGTCAATCCAAAAATTCAAGATTCGCATCCAGTTGTCGCCAAACCAATACTCGCTCCACATTGTGGGACTATAGTTCTGTTATAAGAGTGACGGTCAATCCAACTATTCGTTCAAACAAGAATCAGAAGTGGGTGATATTGGCTGTTCTCATATTAGTCAATTTGTAGGTTTGGCGAAATTCTGATGGGAAAAAACTTTTACTCACTTACAAAAAACAAGGACAAAAATTAACCAAAAGTTAAGAGTCTGCAACAACACTTTTCACTGCAAACCTTGTATGTTAAGATAACTAGCATATTCCTCTGTATATTTAAACAAAAGTAAAGGAAACTAAAAAATTATAAAGACCATAATATTTACCTATGACAAAAAAAGTGAGAAAAATGGAATAATTGTGAATTCAGATATACTAAATCAATGTTTTGTGTGTGTAGTTTTATAGTAAAGTCACAATGGCGCTATCTGTTGTGTCCACCAAGGGGAATCGATCCCTGATTTTAGTTTACTGAATCAGAAATAGGGACAATGAAAGAGGAGGGAATGACAACTCTTCTAAGAATTAAACATTTCAAAAATTAGGGTACAGGTTGCCTCTGTGTCAGAGCTATGGATTTCGGAACCGGGTTCGAATCTGTGTGATACTACAAAATAAGCCGAGTGCGTTATAAGAGTGATAGTCAATCATTTAGTGTGGCTGGTGGGAGGTAGGGTACTAATGATAGGTTTACGGATATTAAACGCTAAAATTCGGGGTTCAATTCCCCACGGTAGACTCAGCAGATAACCCAATATGGTTTTGCTCTAAAACAAACAAATATTTATATCTAATTATTGAAAGAAATTTATACGTCCAGTCCAAATATAGCTATTAATAACGATATGTTTAAATTGTCTTGTACTATTTATGCAAACTGCAAACAAAGTTTTTTACAGATAGATTTGCGAAGATTTTCTATCTGTTAATTTTATTTAAGTTTTTGTTATTTTAGAAATATATTAACACCTCTTGATTCGAGTGTTTGTTTGTAGTTAAGCGTTGTACGCCCTGATGTAAGTGTAAAACGAGTTACGTTCATGTACTGACCAATCACACTTCTTGTTTGTAACACAGTATATTCAATGTCATCTGATATGGAAAATATATTGAAGTCTATATCATGTTCCTTCTGGTTTATGACATTAATACCTAACTATCAACTGATGCAGTGTTCGTTGTACGTGGTGTTTAACAAGACTTTAAACTTTACTCGACGAAATAACTCACTGCAACATTTACACCAATCACGCTGATTTTCATGTGTTAAACACGTTACTCCTACACCATTCACACTAGTTTTTCTGTGTTACACTCATGCTTCTTACACCAATCACGCTGATTTTCATGTGTTAAACACGTTACTCGTACACCATTCACACTAGTTTTTTGCGTTACACTCGTGCTTCTTAAACCAATCACGCTGATTTTCATGTGTTACACACGTTACTTCTACACCATTCACACTAGTTTCTTGTTGTACATTACGACGCGATGGGTTCCGAAAACATTATAACTATAAACTATAATCCAGAACCTCCTCTCCACAGTTACCTAACCTTATCCTTGCTAGCTTTCTCTATCTACAGTTTTAATGCGCACACCTGGCAAGTTCTTATAGCCTTTGAACCGTTTTAGTTGCTCTGAACCTAATAAAAACATATATGGTGTCGGAAATTTATATATAAATACAAACATACGATGATCACTAACTGCTCAGGATGAAGTAATCCCCGTGCTTCTTACCCTCAGGTGCTGACCAGCTCTTGATGATTCGGTTGTCAAGGCAACGAGGTAGGTGGAGCTCTCACTTGTCACGTGTTTTAGTGGTGGACAAAAAGAATTTAGTCAGCGTCTATAGTACACAGTTCGCATGGTTGACAAGGCTTAAGGTAAGTTCTTTTGGCTGTTTAGAAAATCTTATTTATTCTGATGGCACTCTTTTGTGAAGATTGACGTCACCAAAGTTTGTGTTTTGGAACAACAAAACACGTTTATTTTGGTTAGGTTCGTGTTCATTCCGTGGTTTAGAAATATCGTCTCCTCCCATGAGGTAACTTTTTGTTTGCTCTTACGGACCTTTGCTAATAATAATTACCATTAGTAGAGTGGATATTTCTAGCACGTGCTTTAGATGCAGTTAACAGTTCACAATGCTAGATCTTGACGTTTTCAATATTGATCAGTATATTATCGGTCTGGTGTGGCACTTAGAAATGGTGCTTGTTGATATTCTTGTATCATAAACTTGAAGAGACGACTTGACATGTTGTTGTTGTCCTGCTATCTCTTCTGTTGTATCATCTTCAGCTATATCGTCATTCCGTAGTTAAAAGTATTTTTGTAGCATGTTAACATAAAATATATCCAAACAAAACGTTCGAGATATTAAAAACAGTTTACATTATCTTAAGATATTTTTTTTTCAAAGAAGAACTGGTCGCCTTCAGATCGTAAAGCCATTTGTAACGAGCACGCTCTCGGCACTCCTCGAGAGATTCCCGGGATCTCCCGAGGAGTTTCCAGTGGGTCTGACTGATGAAGCATACGATAAGAATTGGTACGTTACGTTTTTTTTTAAAGCTCATTTGAAATAGATAAATAGTACATATTAGGAAAATCTATCACTAAAATGTAATTTTGAAACACATATCTTTTACTCTTTTCTATATACGGATACCATAAGCAAAACCCAATATTATATTACGTTCTCTGGGTTTAGAACTGTATTACAGCCAAATTTCACCATGTAAAAATTTTGTAGTCACATATTTTATGATTTCTTAGATGTTTGTTGTATTACGGCTAATCTCCCCCCCCCCCTCCGCTGTGACAATACGTTGACAACCTGGACCGATAACGGTGCGCTATGGCCATGGCAGTTATCCTGGTGTAAAGTTAATAGTTTAGAG